GTTTATGCGACCATTCTGAAATCGAGGCCCATAGGAGAAGAAATTTACAAACCGACGGAGAAGCTCATAGGAATCCGTTCCGCACAGTGAACAAGGCCAGCAGTTCGCAGACATTAATGCACCTGTGATATGTGAGCCATTACCCAGAGGGTGTCAGCAACATACAGACCGGCTCACTCCCGCCTCCTCAGTGCAAACCTATAGGGGGCTTACCTTGTACCTCCTTTCCCTGCTGTCCCCGTCCTTGAACTTTTGGCTCTATTACTCAAATTACCAGCGCTCCTCAGCTGAACACAGAACACAGAAATGAGCTGTAGGACTAATTTCTCACCTTTCCCAAGGATGGTGCCCAGGCCAGAAGCAACCTCATGACATTCAAGGGGTGCCCTGGGTGTTAGGGCCTAACACCCTAATTCTCTCAAGGCCTAACCTTCTGAATTGATGCTAAATGTCATCTATACTTCTGCTGTCACCTCACTGCTGCCCAGAGGACAGTGTATACACATGGCCATGCCTTCCACCTTAGAGATAAATAAATATTGCCACTTTTACTGTGTGTCTGTTATAATTCTCTATTTTTTGAGGCTCAAGTAACTAAGAAAAGCCAAATTCAAAATAGCTGACATCCCCAGGAATGACAGAGGTTGACAAAAAAGCAACTTGAGTTCTTCACGGTGACTCATGTGCTACGCAGCAGGCATATTCCTCGGGATCAGGACATGGTGAGTGTTGCTAAATCCTGGGGGCAAAGATGCTGTGGATGGGGCTTCGTGGAAATTCCTGAAATGCCAGTCTTTATGTGGGGCACATGCTTTGGCTTTCATCCCTGGATGCAGGGAGACCCTCAGATGAGCTCCCAGAGTGGGTCTGGTTTGAGAAAGCAGGTGACATTCAGATGTCTGAATGTTTTGCTACTTGGGTAAGACAAGTGGAATCCAAAAAGGCTGCTCAGAATTCAAGGGTGCTGGTGCCTCTGCAGTGCTGGGGTCTCTGGGCAGTGATGGGGAGAGCATCACAAATGCTGTGTGTGCAGCTGTCTAATTATGACCCCCAGAGCCCTGCAAGAGAGTCTTTCTCTTCTTTCTCTGCAAAGGAGGAGGAGCAGGGTTTGAGCACAGGCTGGCTTGACTCCAGAGTCACCCACAGAGTCTGTCACAGAGGGCTTCAGACTCAGTGAGACCAATACTAGTCATGGTGGCAGCAGAAGGGGAGCACCTCACGCTCCCCACTGTAGGGGGCGCTGTGATGGGTTTGCCCTCAGGTTATCACTGAGTCCTCACTGCACAGCTAGGAGGTTCGCACTGTTATCACCTCCTTTTGGCAGCTGAAGAAACAGCTGAGGTCTCAGAGGAGACATGATCTGCCCCAGGCCCTGCTGTTAGTTGCTAACACACCTCTCCACCTGCTTCCTTCCCAACTTTCTGCACCAGGGCCTCTGCCTCCTGAATCTCCTGACTAGTGCAGGGTGGAGGCTACCTCTTTGCCTGTCACGCCTCCTGACCTCTCGGAGAGCCCTGAGCTGGCTGACACCCCATTCCTTGAATTTCTTCTCCAGTGCACTTCCGCACTGTCCTTTCCTGGTGCTTGTTCTGCTTTTCTTGTCCTGCTGCTGGTTCCTCCTGTTCCTCCCATTCCTAAACGTGGCTCTCTCAAAAACTCTGCCTGTAGCCCTTTGCCACGTCTGTCCCCTACCCAAAAGGTGACCTCTCCCTTCCAATGTGGCCTGCCCCACCTATGCTGGAGCCAGCCCAGGCTCCTCTGTGACCCGGCCCAGGTCAAGGCCCTCCAGCCTCCATGCTTTTCGTTCACCCACATCCACTCAATGCACTCAGATCCCCTCTTTCTCAAACTAGCTGACCCAGGTTTCAAGGCAATAGAGTGTTAATTCAGAGCACAGACCCTGAGCCAGGCTGCCTGGGTCCCAACCCTGGCTCTGACATTTAGTAGCTGTGGGACTCTGAGGCAAGTTCTGTGCCTCAGTTTCTCCACCTGTAAAATAGGGATAATAACAGCACCTACCTTATAGGGTTGTTGTAAGGAGTAGTGAGTTAATGACTGGATGGGGTTTACATCAGTGCTTGGTGCTTAGCAAAAGCTAGATAAGTACTATCTTTGTCTGAGAGAGTATCTAGCCCAGGGGTTCCTAACTGGGGGGCCCTGGGCAGGTTTCTCCCACTCAGCTTCCTGAGAATAAATGCAAAACCTTGTGAAGAGATGCATTTCTATGGAAGGAGAGGGCAAGACTTTCAAAGGAGTCCATGACCTAAAACCTGTTAGTCCACAAACCTAACTTTATAGGCACTGAGAGAATAAGTAACCTGTCCAAGGCCACAGAAATTACTGGGGGCACAGGGAAACTAGCTCTAAGTGAAGTGCACAAATGTTTTCTGAGCAGGAGGTGCAGCTTATCAAATCACTACAACAGTGGAACACACAAGACTCTAAGCATTAGATACCTTTCATGGGGCTTGATTAACTAATGGGCTAGACACTAAGAGAAGCAATTTAATCAGTGATATTTCTGAAGAAATACTCTTCTACGAAGTTGCAGGTCAAAGATCACCAAACCTAAGCTCTGAAGGAGCCTCAGAGATCACATGACCCAGTCTCCAGTGACCCCCTGCTCCAGGCTCCTAAGGTCACTGATAAATCACTGATAAGCTGCATTTGGATGGACACCCAGGCTTCCTGCCCCAAACCCACTGGCACGTCCACTGAACAAAGTACCTGGAGACACTCTGTCATCAAAAGATCCAAAACAGAGTATCTTCTTCCAAAAGAAAGGAAAGAAAGAAAAGAAAGATAACACATTAAAAAAAAAACAACTGTTGGAAACTAGTTTCTCCTAGAGGGTTCAAGGGGCAAACCAGGGAGCAAATATAAGATTCCATGATTCTCTGTGCTCTTTGTTGAGCAATAGAATCAAATATTTGTTTCCTCCCCCATAATATAACCATTAACTTTTGTTAAGACTACAATACTTATTCTATTCATGTAAAAGGTCACTGCAGTGGAGTAAACAAAGTATTTTAAGTCAGTGTGTGCTTGCCTATCATTGGTAACAGTCATGCCTACACTGACCCAGCTGGGCACTTCAGAGGGTCATCTTCATCTTTTCGAGAAGCTCTGTGGGCAAAGCAGGCCTATATAGAGAGGTTGTGATGCTCACCCAGGATCCCACGCACAGGACCAGGAGCCCAACCCTGGCCCCTGTGACCTGAACACCTATGTGTTCCCAACCAACCTCAATGGTCACTACTCCTGGAAAGTGCAAAGTGCCCCCTGGAATTTCTTCTATGCAGTTATCAAACTCTAAATAACAACAGCTATACAAGCTTGAAAGCTCACAGGCACACGGGTCAGAGAATTTTGGTGTTCAAACTCACCAGAATTCACGGATTCGAGTGTCACCCCAAACAAGCTCCCTGGCTGCCAAAACCTGCTCTCTCATGGAGCCTGCTGCCGGCCCTCCTCCCCTCCGACAGGCTGAGAGAGTGCCATGGACTTTATGCCCTTCACCCTTCCCTCCAGGCTAAACAAAGGATCCATGTACAATGGTACTTCTAAAACACAACTGTACAGTAATCGATATTAAGTATAAAATGAAAAAGTTTATGTTTTTAAAAACCAATGCAGGTGGTGATGAAAAATACCTCGGCAGAGAGTCCTGGCCATTCTCAAATCCTCAGAGCCTGTGGGAAGCACCTGATCGCAGGTGCAAAGCTGGTAAGGTCCCGAGGGGAGAGGGAAAAGCCGAGAGTACAGGGAGGCAGCTAGGGTGCAGGCAAACCACCCCCTCAAGCACACTCAGGCAAAGGAGACTGTCATTACACAGATGCAACAAGGGAACAAGCAACGCGGTTCCTGCTCCAGAATCGGCCACTTACGGGGCAGGGGAGACAGGAAAGAAAAGGACAAGCCGAAGCAAGGTGAATGGAAGCAGAATGTCACAAAGTGCAACCTGTGACATCTTAAAGGCAAGTGATAATAAACCAGTCAGTTCCCATTTTTCACCCACCTAAAATCAGACCCCTAAAGTCCCCAGATTCCGAATGATGAACATCCAGACTTCGTAAGTACAGAAACTGAGATCAGGAGAGGTGCCTCTCCATCCACCTGCCTGACTTCTACACCCCTGGGTCACCCTGGCAGCTCGGAGGTCAACCCCTCTGATGTTCCATGTGAAGGGACACGTGTGTGAGTGTTCAAGACTCGAACTGCGGGGAGTGGGGCAAGGTGGGAAGGAACTGGAAGGCAGAAGGAGCGCTTAACCAGAAGGTAGGTTTAGTGGGAGTTAGAGAGACACGGGCGGAAACAAGTATTAGAACCTGGGGCCATGGCTTAGGAGTGGCAGCTGGGGACAACTGAGAACGGGGAAAGAGATTTCTACAAAGGTCATCTGGGAAGCGAAGGCTGCAGACTGAGACGGGACAGGATGAGAGTGCTGCGGCGGGGGCCGGGGCCTAGACCGTGAGCTGCCACCATGCCGGCGGGCAGGGCTGTGCTCCAAAGTGTGGCCAGCCCCAGTGCCAACAGCGCTGCCCCCCCGAGGGCACGGGGGCTGCAGCTCCAAGTGCCAAGCACCGTGCAGAGGCCCCAGGCCTCATCTCACAGGAAGGGGTCGGGAAGGGGATGGGAGCAGAGCCTGCCCACCGTTAGTCAGAGGCACCAGAGCAGGGCATAAGACAGGACGAACCTGGAGCCGCACCTCAGATCTGGGAGCCACACAGGAGAGAACCAAAGTGGGACTCGTGGTCAAGTGGCAAGGAGGTTCAGGCAGGGCACGGAGAAAGGGAGTGAGGGGCTGTGGCCACAGCAGGCACACACCAGTGGGACAGTCACAAGAACAGCTGGTGGTGGCAGAAACCCAGCCACAAGTCCAGAATCACTGGGCCTCCAAACAGCATTTTGCTAAGGAATTTGCTGTGCACCACTAGGCAACATTGAAAATATGAGCACAGTATTTGAAGTCTGAAACCACTCAGTTAATGAATACTCACCACAGCAATTACAGGAATGAGTACACCCAAGTTCCCTGCGCTGCTAGAAGCCTAGAAAATAGAAGAATAGAGTCATTGAAAGCGTGTGTTTCTTTCATTTAAAAAAGAGTGTTAATTTCAGAGAAATAATGAGATATATAGACAGCGATATATAAACATGCTCACCCAATATCTTTTTTTTTTTTTTAAAGCAGGCTCCACACCTGGTGTGGAGCCCACCTTGAGGCTTGAACTCACGACCCTGAGATCAAGACTTGAACGGAGATCAAGAGTCATATGCTGAACTGACTGAGCCACCCAGGTGCCCCTCCAACATCATTTTAATAGCAAAAAAAAATGGAAACATGTCAAATAGTAGAATGATTACATAAATCATGGTACCTGTGTAAAATTAAATACCACACAGCTATTAAAAAGACAACTTTCTAAAAAATATTTAGTCACTTTGGAAAGTGCCCACAGCAAATTTTAAATGGGAAAAAAAAATCAGGATTTCAGAGTATGCTGCGATATAATCCCAATTATGAAAATAAATATATTTGCATAAAAAATCTAGGAGGAAGTCTGTCAAAATGTCAATGATGAGGGGCGCCTGAGTGACTCAGTTAAGCATCTGCCTTCGGCTCAGGTCATGATTTCAGGGTCCTGGGATTAAGTCCCACAGTGTCATCGGGCTCCCTGCTCAGCGGGGAGTCTGCTTCTCCCTCTGCCTCTGCCTCCCCCTGCCCATCCCCCGCCCACACTCTCCCTCTTTCTCTCTCAAATAAATAAAATATTTTTTAAAAATGCCAACGATGAGTATATCTGAGGAGAGGGATTATGGGTGCTTTTTATTTATCAGTTTCTGCATCTTTTCTACAATAAACATATGTTCTTTCCAAGTTATGGAAATTTTGGGGTTACTTTAAAAATAACTTTAAGGGCGCCTGGGTGGCTCAGATGGTTAAGCGTCTGCCTTCGGCTCAGGTCATGATCTCAGGGTCCTGGGATCGAGTCCCGCATCGGGTTCCCTGCTCAGTGCAGAGCCTGCTTCTCCCTCTCCCTCTGCCACTCCCTCTGCTTGTGCTCTTCTATCTCTCTGTCAAATAAATAAATAAAATCTTTAAAAATAAAAATAAAAATAACTTTAATAGTTATTGAAAACATGAGCACAGTATCTGAAGGTAGGTTCCCTGGTTGGACATACAAATAAGGTTATAAACTACAGTACACACTGATGAGCCTAAGTTCTGGAAGCACTCACCTAAGCACATTCAATTTGTTTTTTATATTAACAGTAGCAGCCAAGTGCATCGAGCACCCACTGCGTGCCAGGCAGTTCCAAGCGTTTCATATGTAATAACAAAATCTTTGGTGGAGAAAACAGGGTTTGAGTACCTTGCTATAGCCCCACGGCCGCTCAGCAGTGGGGGTAGAATCTCAAGACCTGCTTCCTCTTCTATGGAAACTAAGGGCTTCCCAGATATGCGATGACTGGGAAGAACTGTCATTTCTTAATTTATAATCCTAGCTCTTTGTCTTCAAAGGGGCACATGTTGGCCAATCCCCTCTCACTGACCCTGCAAGACCCCCTTATTTGCTGAGGCCCCAGCTTATGGGGAACGCACAGCAGTTGCTCAGTAAACACTGGGCTAGCCCCTGCATGATCACAAACAGGAACTATTTCGCAAAGAACAGGATTCACAGCTCTGCACCTGGAGAGCAGAAAAAGGGATCCCTGCACTGTCGGGGCCACAACCCCCACTCCCAGTCCGTGAATGAAGCATTACATCTTGAGTCTTGAGAATGTAAACTTGTAGCAAGAGCAGGCAGAGGGGAGCAGCCTTTGTGTCCAGGGGGCGTCCTTCTGGGCCCTGAGGTACAATTTCCAGGGGAGGCAAGGAGAACGACTCCTGAAACACCCTTCAGACACATCACAGCCTCTGCTTTCTCGGGTGCCGAGTGCCTCCCCACATCTCTGAGCAGTCCTCTCTTCCTGATGCCCAAGGCCCCACTGGACACCAGAGCTGCCTCTGTCTCTTTGTCAGGATGGCCTAGCTGTGCACCATCCTGGGAGACTTCAGAAATCACCCAGATCACTGTCAAGGGGTCTAGCAGAGCAAGGCTGAATTAGAGCGAAGGCTCTTAGAACCCCTTTTCGCACCAGCTACTCCCCCTTAGCCAAGATTTTCACACAGAGGGCTCCTTTTCACACAGTTTGCAACTTAGCTGTCATCTCCTCAGGTCTTCACACAACCCAATCTAAAGCGCTCTTCTCCACACTGCCCTGTTTTGGTTTTGCTGTCCAGGAGCAGGCCCCTTGTCTGCCTGTTCACTTCTGTAACCCCAGCACCTAGAACAAGGTCAAGAAACTGTGGCCGTGGCCAAATCTGACCCACCACCTGTTCTTGGAAATAGATTTTTATGGGGGCACAGCCGCCCATTCTTTTAACTGGCTTTATGCTACCAGGACAGAGCTGACTAGTTGCAACAGAGACTCTATGGCTCACAGAGCCTAAAACAAGTATAATCTGGCCTTTTACAGAGAAGGTGGGCTGACCGTTGACTAGGCACATAAACAGTAACTGTCTGGGGAAGGGAGGTGGGAGGAGAAGACAGAGGAGGATGAAGGTGGAGACTCTGGTAGAGAGACTGGCATCAGCATGACATGTGAAAGGGGAAATGATGGGGTAGGGGGCTTAACCTGCCTCAACCTCCCCAATCTGTCTCTCTGGGGCCCGAGACCTGTCATTTTGTCTGTCCCCATGGACCCGTCTCCCTGGATGGCCCAGATTAGGTTAGATCTGGCCCTTCTCATGTTGTCACTGCGTTCTGGTGAAAGCCTCCACTCCCTGGCTTCATGATGGCCGAGAGAAGGAAGAGAGGGGGTCTGGGGGAATCCCCACCCTGGGCCGGGGGAGGTAGCTGCCACGAGCCAGACACGGTCCTATAAGAAAGCCTACGAGAACCACCCTCTCTGCACCCTGCCAACACCCCTGAGAAAGAACCTTTGTTCTTGCTGTTTACCAGATGCCCCAGGGTGACCGCCCTCCTCCCTCCCTACCTTCAGGGCGGGCCCCTTCTCGCTGGCCCGCTCGCTGGCCCGCTTTCCCTCCAGCCCCAGCTGCACAAACAGCTCCAGCAGGTTCATGAGCAGCTCGTCCACGAGGTGCTCATCCTGGATGTTGGCTGCGATGTTGGCCAGGGCATTGATCACCGCCAGGGAGCAGTGCCTGGTGGGGAGAGAAAGGAGAGCTGCCACAACACGGGGCCTGGATTGCAGGGGTGAGGCCAGTTGACTCCTGCCTCACCACGCCCCTCAGTGCCTGTGAACGAAGGAGCCTCCAGAGTGGATAAACATCTCTGTGAACACCAGCCCCTAAAGGACAGTCAGCTGCTACTGAAATGGCTTTAACCTCTCCTGACATGCAGTAAGGGCCTCGGGGAGCTGCTTAGGTTCCAGGAATCCACACCTATGGAACTTGTGAAGATCTTAGGACACTTCTCTCTCAGTGTTGAAAGCCTACCATGTAGCTAAATCCCTGGCTGGGCCCTGCTTTCCTCTCAAATTATAGGTAGCCTTAATTCACTATTTCCGCCCACAAAACTCTCCTCTGACGATCGGCTCCTTCCCCACACTGTCTCCATGGGGCTGATGTTAGTAGTAGCTCACATCAGACACAAAGGAAGCACTCAGTGGCCCTGGGACAACTGGCATCAGGACAGTGCTGGCCCAGGTAAGCCCTGGATACAAAGCTGACAATGCCCCCCGACCCCCCACTCCCACAGAGAGACACAGCAAACCAGCAAGGCCGGCCAGGCTTCTGCAGGTGCTGGGGGCAGCCAGAGCCTGCCACTTTTATGCTGCATGACCTCAGATGAGTGGCTCACCTTTGAGTCTCAGTTTCCTCCTGAATAAAACAAGAATAATATAATTCCCTCCTTGCAGGGTGTAGGACAAATGAAACACTCCACGTGAAGCGTTGAGCACATCATCTGGCCCCCAGAAATCTCCCACCAAACAGCAGCCCTTCACAGACATGTGAAATCCTGGGCGGTAAGGGCAAATGAATGGCAGTAAAAGCTTCCACTGGTGAGGAAAAGGACAAACAACTTCTGGTGGTGGTATCAGAAAAGGCTTTATGGAAGAGCGAAATGGAGAAGTTGAAGAACTGGTAGGCATGGAGAAGGCCAAGTACTGCATACTGCAGCAAGACAGAGGCCAGGGTCAGAAGGAAAACAGCAGGAGAAAAGACAAGGAGGGGAGGGTGTGAGGGCCAAGGAGGTGCAGGAGTCACTTCGGGATAAGGAAGCAATGAGGGAAAGAGGTGCTTTGGTCTGTGTGTCAGTTTCTTCACAAAGACCAGGATGGACGGATGCATAGACGAAGGGGAAAGGAGCTGACTGTCTCCCTAAACCAGTCCTCAGGCTGTTCTGGTAGCCTGGGCTTGCAATGGAGGTAGTAAGAAGGCAAAGAAATGACAAGGCCAAGAGCTTGCATTTATCAAGAGCTTTCCTGTATACAATCTCAATTACCCACACAACTGGAGACAGATGTTCATTTGATGGATGACAGATGAAGAAACAAAGGCACAGAGAGGGTGAGCTTTTTCAAAGGTCACACAGCCACACTCCCACCCACTGAAGTGAGTTGGAGAGAACCTCAGACTGAGCCCTGCACATAAAGGTCAGAAAGAGAGAAAAGAAATGCCAACAAAGGGGCACATCTCTTCCTCCCTGCCCCACTCCTCTGTCCCGCTCTTCCCTTGATCTGTCAAACTCTTATGAGATCCTCCATATGTGGAAAAACATGCCCCTGCCCTCAAGGTATTCACAGTAAGGGCAAGGAACAGGCAAGGAAGCATATCTCAGTCTGCTGGGAAAACTGGCCAGACTTTACACAAATATCAAACAACTGAGCATGTAAAATGTCTATTCCCTTTGACCCTCCAAATCCCACCTCTCTGAATCTACCCTGAGGAAAGCATCAGAGACGCTCACAGATACCCAGCTATTAGATTGTTCGGTGTTGCACTTACCAGCAGGAAAACTGGCAAACTAACCTCCAAGCTAGGGACTGGTTAGATCTCGGTGCTGCTCTAAGATAGGACATTCTGCAGCCCTTAAAGGCGGCACATGGAAGAAGGTTAATGGCATGGCTGATGCGCTGTTACATAAAAAAGCCCGTCAGCTGGGTGGACATTTTGAGCCTGTCTGGAGTCAGGGAGGGTCTGAGGTAATGACACTGAGATGCTCAGCTCCCAGTGGCAGTCACATGGGGTCTTCATTTCCCACTTGTGCATGTGCTGATTTGTAGCACATAATGCTTTTGTAGGAAAAAAGTTTATTCAAAAGACAAATCCCCAAGCCTCATACTTTTAAAGGGAGCTGAAAACTGTCACGATCTAGAGTGACAACAAGGTCTAGAGAATTACCTGTAGCCATGATCCTTGTAATCTTTAGTGGCTGAGTACACGACAGAGCTGGCCTTCACGCTGATCTGCTGGAAGAGATTCCACACTTCCTGATAAATGTATTGCTGGAAGAGTGAGGTACACGGTTACCATGGCATGACTTCTCCATGAAAGCCCCTCCTTGGAACACGGAAAAGGCTCCTCTACCATCATTCAGAGCAAAAGCTTCTGGAATGTATGGACCATAAGGGCCTGAAAGACCATCAGGGGCATCCATTCCTAAAGCTTTCAGCAAACCTCAAAAGCTAAAAGGGAAATGGTTTCAAATTAAATCCTATTACATGTTATTAACATCGGCAAGAAATGAGTTTAAACCTCCTTTTCCCAGCACTTACAGAGCCATCACGCTATTCTCTTTTACTTGGAAAAAAGTCTCCCTGTTCAATGTCAAGACAGTTGTGAGCATTTAACTTATCTGAAGGGCAAATTTAATCTATTTTTGCACTCCTGATAGTCAAAGTAACAAAGCTTGCAGAGGATAGTGGGTTTCATTGCAGGTCCTGCCTTACATTTCCGGTGATAACCAGGCAGCCCAGCTGGTCGATAATGAGCACGTCAAGGGGGGAGGGGGGCTGGCAGAATTTCTGTTGCAGGATCTGCAGAATTGGCTCCATGACCTTTGGGGTGTCCCTCAGGGCCACCGCAATGTGTCCCAAGGCTCGGATGGTGTGGTCAGGAATCAAGTGAGCGTCCCTGTGGGAGGGAGGAAACAGAAGCATCCTGGGAACAGTCCTCTGTGAAATGAAACCCAGAAGCTACAGCCTGGACCCCAAGGTTACCACAGCCTTTCAGATGAAGCAGTCATCCGACCGTGGCACCCTGGAACCCTTACTTCCTGAAGAAACACAAAGTCCCTGGCTCTAGGCAGTAAGACACAGATCTTTCTCTGCTCCCAAACAGTGGTCCAGGATCAACATTCTAAGGTGGGTTTCACCTTAAATTGTGGGACAGACCTGATGCACGACTCCACACTGTGCAAGAAAGAAGCACAGATGTGCGAGATACCAGGTGGCCCCCCAACATGCCTGCAGAGAACAAGTGGCTGCCCCTTGAGGATGGAACGTACTTGTCGCTCTCCTGGGAGATGTAGAGCCGGTTGGAGAGGCTGGCCAGGAAGGCCTCCACGATCACTGTGTCCACCGTCAAGCCAGCTTTCAGGCACCTGGACCGTGAGGAAACCCACACAGCATTGGGCATCAGAACAACAGATGAGTGTTTTGTGTTTGCTTTTGGTCTCTTTGTCAGGTCTACAGAGTTTAAAGAACTGCTCTGAGCATTTTTCCCCCAGAAATCTGAATGAAAATCATTACACAGAATGAATTCAAAGAATCACTGCCAATTTTGCCCACTTGATAAATATCTCAGTCAGAAACAGTAACTTCATTATTTGACCAGAATAGTTTCCTTCAGAATGTTACACTCACCCTAATTCAATTTAAAATTTCCAGAACAGTTCCTTAACAAAAGTTACAGTAACTGATTCAAGACAGATGGTCCCAAGACAGCTGAGGGAATATTAAATGATATACCAAGGTTTTAATAGTATGGAGAAAAACTTATTTTCTAAAGAAAAGGGGTAATTTTAAAAGCCCCTAAGGACACAGAATTTTTTCAGGCATCTCTTGCTCTCTACACCTGTTTGGCTCCCAGGCCAGAGTCAGAGAAGAGCATGTGTCTGACAGAGAGGGCCATCATATTCTCTTGATGGCGCTTCTGAGAGCATGGAGCCAGAATTTAGAGGGAGAGATACATTTTCATATAAATCAGAATGTATGCGGTTTCTGAGTTTGGAGAGCAAGAGTTCACATAGCAGGAGCCTGGGCAGCACTCATCATATAAATCATATAAACCCCCCCCCCAAAAAAAATCATATAAAACCCGTCTCTTACACTAAAAATTACAAGGAAAAAACACAGAAAACATGACAATGTGTTGTTACTCTGGATGGTATAGGCTGATGGATAACTCTTTTCTTTCTACTTTTTTTCTACATTCCATAAATTTTCTCTCCCATTTTTTAATTATGTTTATGATAAAAAAACAACAACAAGCTTTATTAAAAAAAATAGGGGCGCCTGGGTGGCTCGGTCAGTTAAGCATCTGCCTTTGGCTCAGGTCATGATCCCAGGGGTCCTGGGATTGAGCCCCACATTGGGCTCCCTGCTCAGCAGGGAGCCTGCTTCTCCCTCTCCCTCTGCCCCTTCTTCCTGAACCCCCCCTCCCACAGCTTGTGTTCTCTCTCTCTCAACATAAATAAAATCTTTAAAAAAAAAATATGTGGGGTGCCTGGGTGGCATAGCCGGTTAAGCATCTGACTCTTGATTTTGGATCAGGTCGTGATCTCAGGGTCATGAGATCGAGCTCCACATCAGGCTCTGCACTGAGCACAGAGTCTGCTTGAGACTCTCTCTCCTCTTCCTCTGCTCCTCCCTCCTGCGCATGCATGCATGTGTTCTCTCTCTCTCTAAAATAAATGGATAAATCTTTTTAAAAAATCATTAAATCAGGTGTAGGTTTATAATAATCTGAAACAAGCTTTAAAAAATTATGAACGTTTCTTATTTTTTAGTAATTTTATCTGAAGCCTGTTTCCTTCCTCCCCATGTCACCCACCCCTCTGGCTGGTCTCCCACCTGCAGATGTTGTCAATGGCAATGTCCCGGAGCTGCTCATACATGGAGGGTTGGGTCTTCTTTCCCGACATGACATTCAGGGTTGACTCAGAATGCTCGTTGGTTACACTGATTTTTATATCATTGCCAGCAACTAAATGTAAAAATTCAAGTATGTATCCGGTTAAACCTGTCACTTTCCATCCCCTTGTCTGTAATTCAAAACCAAAATAATATACTGATCATTTTTAGCTTATGAAACAACCCCTCTAAAAGGATTTGACCAAACGTTTCAGAAACAAAAGTGAGAAAAGAAAGGATGAAATGAACATGCTTAAACAAAAGGAAGAATATTTAGGTTGCAAAATGATAAATGGGTACCACAGCAATTTCTTAAGAAATGGTTTGAAAGTCCTGATGAACACCCACAGGTACCCAGCCCTGAGGGTGAGGCGTGGTTCTGTCCCTGAGGGTTATGTAGCTAATGTGCACAAGAACAGTAAGGGTGGGGGGGTGAGTGTGAGAGCAGGAGTCTTAGAGCCACAGAGACCCCTCCTTGTCCCAGGGTCCAGGGAAACGTCTTATCTGCTTGGAGATTGGGTTTCTTCATCTGAAGGGAGAAGATAAAGCACCCATCTTCACAGGACTGAGTGGGTGGGATGAGCAATACAACATTAAAGCCCAGGAGGAAGCAGGTATTAATGAATGCTAATGGTTACAGGTGGCCAGATTTGCTCTGAGCCCATGTCCCTGTCATAGAAACATGATAATACACTCACGAGGCAGGGATAGGGACTAGCTGAGATCCAGCATGGAGAGCTCCTGGCCAGTGTCTGGGACACACTGGACTCACGCTTTAGACTGTCTCAGTGACAGAAGGAGCCAAAAACAAAGAGAAAGTGGAACTAGAAGACCCCTCAGTGGTGGCAGGAGTATATGCCAGGGAAGGGGAAGGAAGGAAAGAACTGGAGCCCAGCGGGGGTCATGTAAGGAAAGCCATGAGGAAAGGCATAAAGGAGGAATGAGCCCAAGGACAGGGCAGGGCGCATAGGCCAGCCACAAGCTCTCAGCCACAAAACCATGGCGGGCTGGCACACAAGGTCACGCGGTCCTTTTCTTGGAGCCTCAGGGACACATGGGATTTAGGAGCTGGAGAAGTGGCCTTGGGTACAGCCATCCGTTACCTGTGTGGTATTGACTGTGGCACTTATAGAGCTTCACCAGCACAGGGGACGGGACAACCAGGAAGTCCCGCAGAGATGGCGTCACTGAATGCACCACCACCGGGAACCTCTCACACAGGCGGCCCAGACCCTGCAACACACCATCAACCCATCATACAACGTGAGTTGTAGCCACTGAGCAGGCCCAAGCAATAGACACCCAACCTTTCAGATACCCGAGTTGGACCAGAAACTTCCAAGGTCAAAACAGGGCCACTTTGCTCACGGGGCAGAAAAAGACAGGAAAGGAGAATGGTCTAGACTCTGCTCAGCCTAAAGGGGAGATATATTGCTAAAGTGTGTCCATTTCTTTTGGAAGCGAATTTAGGGAAGAAAGGATACACAACATGATTTCTGAACAATGGCAGCTATGGTAACTGGGATTAGTAACTTGGCAAGGTGAGAGTCTCTGAGAGCAGAGCCAGCACTGCAGACATCAGGAGGTGTCCTCAGGACTTTGCCTGCAGCCTTGGGAACAGCCCAGTAGACACAGGGCGGCCTCTCCACAAAGGAGGACTCAGCTGCGCCTGGAAATCACAGAAATCCCTGGCACACTGTCAGCAGCAGCCCCCCACTCATCGATGAACTGTGTCTACAGTAGGCTCTAGTTCAAGTTCCTAAAGACAACAGCTCAGGTTCTGCTGCTGGTATGCCAACCAGAACCTAAATGATATAACAAGAAGACTGCCCTAGTTGATGGGATCGAAGCCTTGCAAGTGTCAGTGAGACTGACCTGCAGACAGCAGATAAGCAAGGGCAAATGAGCAATGATGACTTTGCTGGACGTCTTAGACTGCAGCTTCTCAGAGAGCTTGATGCAAAGATTTTCAGCACCTAAATTCAAAAAAATGAGAGGAGGGTATGGATGATTCGCGAAGGCCAAAATTTACAAAATACTTGTTCACCAATTGATCATACAATTAAATGCCCAGGGGCATACTTTTTGCAGGCTTTATTAATAATGAGTGGTTATACCAGAAAGTATTTACAGGCAGGCAGGCATCCTTAACTGAAACCTCATCCCTGCTCCATTTCTGCTGTTGTGAAAACACCAACCCATGTGGCGTGTGACTGCTCTCTCCTCTCTGCTGGCCCTGAGCCTCTCGTCCCCAATGCTCTGCATGTGGCAGCCATCCACAGTCTGCCACACACTTCCCATTTTGCTGTTCAACCTAGACAAGCACCTTTTCCTCCGGCACGGAGCTCCCACTTCTCCACATAAAAGCCCCTGAGGAAATAAACCCACGAAAGGCTTTATGCCTTTCCTCATGGCTTTCCCTACATGACCCCCGCTGGGCTCCAGTTCTTTCCTTCCTTCCCCTTCCCTGGCATATACTCCTAAAGCCGAAAGAACCATCAAGAAGCTATGGAGAGGACCCACAGACCCTGTGGCCCCGGCCATCACCTCCTCCCATGTCCAGTTTCCTCAGCCTGAGGACAGGGTACCAGACATCTGGGGCACGGCAGTGGCCGATGCTCACCCTGCTCGTCCTTCACGGCCCACACCATGAGGTCCACGCAGGCAGCGTTTGCCTGGCAGCGCAGCTTGAGGGGGCTCAGCTCATTGTGGATCCGGTCTGCATCATGCAGAATCTTCTGAAGCTCCCCCTGGCTCGTGTTGAACTGCTCCAGCACAAAATCATGGATCTCCTTCACAAAGGAGGTTGGGAGGTCTGTGGGAAAGAGAACAGGCACTGCAGGTGGAAACAAACCACGAAAATTCAGGCAGTAGCTCTACGGTCTCTCCCACTCTAACAGAAACCCAAGAGGAGTAGGTCTGCTGCTGGCTCCTCTGGTTGTAAGAGTGGCCGCTGCAGGGGGCACCTGGGTGGCTCGGTCGGTTAAGCGTCTGACTCTTGATCTCAGCTCAAGTCATGGGTCATGAGATCGAGCCCCTGCTTAAGATTCTCTCTCTCCCTCTGCCCCTCCCCCACCTGCTCTCTCTCTCTCTCTCTCTCTCACACACACACACACACATGCACGCACGCGTGTGCTCTCTCTCTCAAAAAAAAAAAGAAAGAAAAAAGAAAAGAGTGCCTACTCTCGGCACACGTGCTACCAGGCACTCAGAGAAAATGACCATTTCCCAGGGAAGTGAGAGCAATGCTGTGTTTTAAGCAGTCAATATACTAAAACCTGAATGTCTGAAACACAGAAACTGGGATGTATCACTGGTGGAACTGGTCCAACTAACAAGGAGAAATACTTTAGTGATTTTTTTTTTTTTTAACGAAAAGGTTGTTGGCTATCAGCTAAGGGGAAAAACTGGTTGTAGCCTGAAGAAGAGAATCCCTGGCTACAGGGCTACATCTTTGGGGCGCCCAGAGTTCACAGCTTCTTCCAACTCTCACCTTTGGGGCCTGGAAAAATCAGGAGAATCCCCATGATGGGCACAAGACAGAAGAGCCAAGGAAGCCAGCAACATGAGGCTCAGGTGGGGAGAGAAGCGTCAGGGCATCTGAAGGTCAGGTTGGGCAGGGCAGTCCCTTCCACCCTTCTTTGTGAACCTAACACTTGTTGGGTCCCCAGCCAGACACAGATTCCCAGGAGTTCTTGGAACCAAATTAGGAAAACAGCTAACTAGATTATAGTACATCTGCTTGATAGAATACTACATGGCCATCAAAACTTATGTTGATGGAGAACATTCTGTAACATAAGAGAACGCAGGAAACATGTTTTAAAAATGCACAAAAGGGAATGGGGTGCCTGGGTGGCTCAGCTGGTTAAGCGACTGCCTTTGGCTCAGGTCATGATCCTGGGGTCTTGGGATCGAGTCCCACATTGGGTTCCCCCTGCTCTGTGGGGAGCCTGCTTCTCTCTCTCCCTCTGCTTGCCACTCCCCCTGCTTATGCTGTCAAATAAATAAATTAATTTTTAAAATCTTTAAAAAATTAAAAAGTTAAAAAAAAATAAAAATGCACAAAAGGGAAACTGGAAGGAAAGGCTAAATTTGTATGTGTGCATGTGCTAAACTATTAAGATATTTTCTCTGAGTTATAAGATTATGAAGTCCTCATTTTCTTATTTTTTAAACTTTTTGAAATGTCTAAAATAGACATGATAAATTGTATACATGATTGGGTGATCAGGACAAGACAACACAGTCATGTCAGAAAAGCCCCTGAGGAAATAAACCCACGAAAGGAGCCAGCATTGATGCTATTAGGGGTGCAGGATCATGAACAGATTTTTTTTTTCTTATTTGCCTTTTTTCCCCAAATTTCGGTGATGGGACCATGTTACTCGTGTGTTTTTAAGGGGCCCCAGCAGAAAGGAAGCACAGACCTGCGGCAGTGGCCTGGAACCCGGTGTCACCACAGTCACACGCGGGCGCAAACCGTCCGTACCTTTCATGTAGTACAGAGTGTCACGCAGCATCTTGAACATGGCCACGTAGAGAGGGTCGCTGAATGTGGTGTAGTAGAGATCAGCGCTAGGGTTGGCCTGTGAGGGAGCAGAGGCACGTGACCACACCACGGAAACCCTCCGGACCTCCCTCTGCCTTCTAGGGTGAGGCCCGGCTGAGTGAGTATTATATTCCTGACATAGCATTAGAGAGATGGAATGACCATTTGTCATGATTCACCACTTGAAACACTTGAATTACTCTCCTCCCTCTCTTAAGCATCAGGCAGAGGAAAACTAAAGACTCAGGCTGTCCAGAGATGCCTGTTGGGGTGCCGCCACCTGCACCCTCCAGACTGGTTTCTCCATATGTTGTTCTTTTTTTTTTTTCATAGGTTGTTCTAATGGGAAGAACCACCCTCCTGTTGCTGAAAACTCAGCAACTTTGGCTGTCTTACAGGAACTGGAGAAGGAGAAAGACAGCCAAACGGCCATCAGATCACTGTGAGGTGATCCATTTAAAAGAGGGAGCACAAGCAAGCTCTCAGGTGGCAGTTTTGTGGCCACTATGGGGGCTAAGCTGAAAGCTCACTGACAACCCTGTCACTCCAGCTCCCACCCACAAACTCTTCCTGTTCTCTCCATGCACATTCTCACATCAGGCTGATCTCAGGACCCCGAAGGGATGTACCTCTATCACGCTGGCTACGACTGCATCCAAGGATTTGAGGACAGGCTCCTCGACAATCTTCTTCACCTATCAGAGAAACAAGACCTTGTGAGGTCCCTGACAAACACAGTGAGAGACAGGAATGCCAGTTCCCTCTAATAAAGAACAAATCATGTTGACAGGTGAAACCACATAACACACTCATGAGATGAAAAACGCAATGGAAATGATAGGCCAACAATATACTCATTATGTCTCCACATCAAACTATAACACACAAAATGTCCTTAATTCTGCCATCACTTGGAACTTGTCTTCTTGACCTTGATTGGAATAACATAAAAATGGGAAAGGAACCAACTCCCTCAAATTTGCTGACATTAGATTTCCATTTCCAGGATGCGAAAGTGTTCAGACTCCAGGTATCACTGACAATTCACCCAAACCTCCTCCCAGACATCAGGGACACCTTCACAGCCAGTCTTTGGCCCTGATGACTCCGGACTCCTCCTCCTGCAGGCCTGGTACACTGGCTCTTCGGAAGCTGCCTAGGTACTCAGAATGCAACACACATTCTAAATTTCTAACAGAAGCACTTATTTCCACCCATTCTCTGTACCAGCATTCAGTACAGGAATGAACTGTTCTGGCAGCTGCAGAGCCTCCTGATAGAACTGCCTGCCACCCCAACTGTAGTACTTCAAGAAGCTGATTTTCAATACACATAGACAATGATAAACAACATGCCAGGAGAAGAAATGAAAAATTGCCTAGAAGAAAAGCTAACCTCAAGAAGTTAAAATATCCTGGAAAAAAGAACTGCCTCTATAAAAGAGTGTGAAACATGCAGCCTTCAGTTGGGATTTCTGACATGATACTAGGAAGAGTCACCTGACCATCTGAGAAGGCCACCCAGGCCAGCGTTCTGTCTGGGACACTAACAGGGAGGAGCAGTTTAGGGAGAGTTTTCCTTCTTGAGGGCAACTTCAAAAACATCGTAAGGCTATTTAGTAATTCATTATGGCTCTATCCTTCATTAATTATTGCCAATGCTTTAATGTCTTTTTTTTTTTTTTTTTTTAAGTCAGCTCCCCTCCCAGCATGGAGCCCAACTCAGGGCTTGAACTCACAACTCTGAGATCAAGACCTGAGCTGAGATCAAGAGTTGGATGCTCAATGAACTGAACCACCCAGGTGCCCCTGCTTTAATGTCTTCATATATCTTCAGCCTAAAGCCATCTCCTAGAGGGATTTCCTTTCACACTCTACACTGAGGGAGACCCTCTCATTCTTTCCAAAGGAGAAAGTCTCATTTTTAGAGTCTGTCCATGACAACGTCTTTATCCTTATCTACCCACTTGACTCTGTCTCAAAGCAACTCAGCTCAATCATAACAACTTCAGAGCCCTTGGATCCGAGACCCATCTATTTCAGGATTGGGACAATGGCACCAATGTCTTCTCTGATGTCACCTCAGAGGTCATCCCAAGGTATCCAAATATGAAAAATAAAGGTTTCGTATTGATTTAAAAATATCAGCCCATAGGAAGGAGTCAGGTGCAATAGGAACTAGGCATTGGGTCAGATTCCCTGGGACTGAGCCCCAGCCCTGCCCTTTGCCGATGGATGCTTGATGTATTTGGCACTGATTGCCTTACCTCTAAAATGGGGATGAATGCCTGCCTCTCCCACATGAGTGCTGCAAGGAGTCAATGAAAACACTGCAAAAATGACTCCATGAATGTTACTCTTCCCTTCTTCCATCAAAAATTTATGACTTCTAGGGGCGCCTGGGTGGCTCAGTTGGTTAAGCAACTGCCTTCGGCTCAGGTCATGATCCTGGAGTCCCGGGATCGAGTCCCGCATCGGGCTCCCTGCTCGGCAGGGAGTCTGCTTCTCCCTCTGACCCTCCCCCCTCTCATGTGCTCTCTCTCATTCTCTCTCTCTCAAATAAATAAATAAAATCTTTTAAACAAACAACAACAACAACAAAAAAAAATTTATGACTTCTGGGGCACCTGCGTGGTTCAGTTGTTAAGCATCTGCCTTCGGCTTAGGTCATGATCCCAGGGTCCTGGGACTGAGCCTCGCATCGGGTTCCCTGCTCTACGGGAGGCCTGCTTCTCCCTCTCCCACTCCCCCTGCTTGTGTTCCCTCTCTCGCTGTGTCTGTCTCTGTCAAATGGATAAATAAAATCTTTAAAAAAAAAAAAATTATGACTTCTAAGTTATTTTCTGAAATACTGAAAAACTCCTAGTTTTTCGTTTGGGAAAAACAACAACAACAACAACAGGCTTGGGTGCCTGGGTGGCTCAGTTGGTTAAGCGTCCAACTCTTGATTTTGGCTCTGGTCATGACCTCAGGCTCGTGAGATTAAGCCCTGTGTTGGGCTCCACGCTCAGCAGAGTCTGCTTGAGATCCTCTCTCCTTCTCCCTCTGTCTGTCTACCTCTACCCCTCCCCAAATCACTCACTGCTCTCTCTCTAAAAAAACCAAAATGAAACAAAAAGAAACGAACAAAAAAGAGCCATGTTTGGTGCGCCTGGGTGGCTCAGTCGTTAAGCGTCTGCATTCAGCTCAGGTCATGGTCCCAGGGTCCTGGGATTGAGCCCCACATCAGGCTCCCTGCTCTGTGGGAAGCCTGCTTCTCCCTCTCCCACTCCCCCTGCTTGTGTTCCCTCTCTTGCTGTGTCTCTCTCTCTGTCAAATAAATAAATAAATAAAAATCTTAAAAAAAAAAAAAAAAAAAAGCCATGCTTGGGGCGCCTGGGTGGCTCAGTCGTTAAGCGTCTGCCTTCGGCTCAGGTCATGATCCCAGGGTCCTGGGATCGAGCCCTGCATCAGGCTCCCTGCTCTGCGGGAAGCCTGCTTCTCCCTCTACCGGTACCCCTGCTTGTGTTCCCTCTCTTGCTGTGTATCTCTCTGTCAAATAAATAAATAAAATCTTTAAAAAAAAAAAAAAAAAAGCCATGCTTACACCACTAGCAATTTTACTGATTGAAGTACACGAGATCTGTTTAACCACCAATGCTTTCCTTACCAAGTTTAAGAGTTCTCGAAGCATTTCTAGTGGAATATTGAACTCCTTATAGGTGATGCCATTAAAAAGAGGAGAAACTGAGAAGCTGGAACTGATGGTGGAGAAGTAGAAATCAGGTTCCAGGGCACTCCCATCAGGTAAGTAAGAGACTGGCAGGGAAGAAAACCAGAAAGTCAGTCACATTCACACACGACCAGGATACTTCCTCAAGCTGATTCCCTCAATAACCAACAAAGTCATAGACTTTGCTTTTGTTTACACTCCAATTCTTTGTTTTTTAATGAACAAGTAAAGGCTGAATTTCAAATCCTTTGAGATTGATGCTTCTCATGGGAGTGTTTCACATCAAAGCTCAGATACAATCATGTCCTAGTATTTTCAACACAGACAGTATAACTTAATGTAGGAAGAAAAAAAAAAAGTAATACTTTTTTTTTTTTTTTAAGTATTACATCTTTTTAAAGGTTGACAGATGTAAATTTCAGGTCCACAGGACCCCAAGATATTTTACCACCAAAATTAGAACAGAAATGCACATTATTAGATGTCTCAAAATCAGAACAAAAATAAAGGCAATCGTCCAACACTTACAAATAAACATGAACCCCAAATGCCTATAATTGTTTGAAAATCCATTATTAGAAATCTATAATAGACTATGAGTAGAAAATAAACAAGCTTGTAATATTTTCATATTAAATAGTGATAGACAAATATCAACCCATTAAAAAACAATAAATTTTATTACTTTCTGAAGCCCTGCAGCACAGAAAACGCAGAGTTGAGTTGATCCTGATTGTGTCAAAGCTGGTGTGTACTTCTCTGATGCTTGTGATGCTATGCTGACCTGACTAAAGGCGAATGGGTCCCAGGGGAGCAAACAGGCAACTTACAACAGAGGATGGGCAATAATATGGACAGCAGTTGAGATGCTGGAGGCCAACATCATAAATGACCAGTGAAGGAGGGAATGAATGAGGAAAGAGTGAGAATAAAGTTGGTTTAAAGCAAGTAGGCAGGGAAGAAGGTAAGGAGTGTGTGTCAAACGTGTATAAATAGGTGTATTTACACACACATATATTTATTCATAAATATTTATTTATTCATATTCATCCACAAGTGCTGGATACACACACACACACACACGCATAAAGGAGTATTATTCAGCCTTGAGAAAGATTTTGCTGTTTGCAACAACATGGATGAACCTAAGGACATTACTCGAAGTGAAATAAGCCAGACATGGACAGAAAATAAACTGCATGATCTCACTTATATGTAGACACTTAAAAAAGTTGAATACATGGGAGCAGAGAGCTGAGCAATCATTACCAGGGGGCAGGAAGATGGGGGAAATGGGAAGATGGTGGTCAAGGGTACAAAGTTGCAGTTAAGTAGTATGAATAAGTCTAGAGAGCTAATGCATAGAATGATGACAATATTTAACATGGCATCAAATACTGGAAAGTTGCTAAGAGAGTAGATTTCAGGTGCTATCACTACATTAAAAAAAAAGAAAGAAAGAAAGAGAGAAATGGTAACCATGAGGAGAAGGATGTGATTGGTCCAGTCCCAAGATGGCGGCCACCATGAAGAAGGTGGCTGCAGAAGATGTCAACATTACTTTTGAAGATCAACAAAAGATAAACAAATTTGCATGGAATACAAGTAGAATTACAGAGCTGAAGGAGGAAATAGAAGTAAAAAAGAAACAACTCCAGAATTTAGAAGATACTTGTGAGGACATCATGCTTGCAGATGATGATTGCTTAATGATACCTTATCAAATTGGTGATGTTTTCATTAGCCATTCTCAAGAAGAAACACAGGAAATGTTAGAAGAAGCAAAGAAAAATTTGCAAGAAGAAATCCACACCTTAGAAGCCAGAGTGGAATCAATTCAGCGAGTGTTAGCAGATCTGAAAGTTCAGTTATATGCAAAATTCGGGAGCAACATAAACCTCGAAGCTGATGACAGTTAAACATTTTATAATACTTTTTTTTTAATTTGTTTAATAAACTTGAATATTGTTTAAAATGATAATTTCCCTTCCTCAAATGATATGGAAAGCAAAAGTTTCTTTTCTTAAAATTTTCATTTATTTAATGAAACTTGCCTATTTTCACATGTCTTGCTTATTTATTTTATATTTTTAAAAGAAGACAGTATTCATCTACGTATTTTGCATAACGATTCTATCAAGTGTAGGGGCTTTATGTCATGTTATTAAAATCGGTTAAGCAACCTTTTACGTTTCTATATTAAAAAAAAAAGAAGGATGTGATTGGAGTCATTATTTCAGCATGTTCATGTATATCAAATCATCGTGTTATATATCTAAAGTATATACAAGTTTCTTTTTAAAATAATAATAGAAAAGAAGATAAGAGGTTTGTGATTAGAGGGCACCTCCCAGATAGATGCCATGAAATGGGGACTAAGCCCTGCGTGGCAGAGCCAGTGTGTGGTGGGCAGAGATGGAGGCAGAAGACAGGAACTGCAGAGTCAAGGATCTAAGATTTGGGATTCATGCAGGGAGGGAGTCACTGAAAGTTTTTAAGGTGGAAATGATTTATGCTTTTAAGAAATAACTCTTTAAAAACATTCTTACAGCTCTGTAGAAAAGGGCCTGGAGGGGCGCCTGGGTGGCTCAGTTGGTTAAGCAACTGCCTTCGGCTCAGGTCATGATCCTGGAGTCCCGGGATCGAGTCCCGCATCGGGCTCCCTGCTCGGCAGGGAGTCTGCTTCTCCCTCTGACCCTCCTCCCTCTCATGCTCTCTGTCTCTCATTCTCTCTCTCTCAAAATAAAAAAAAAAGAAAAGAAAAGAAAAGAAAAGCGCCTGGAAAGAGAAGAGAGACCAACTGTAAGAAAAATCAGACTTGGGGTGCCCGGCTGGCTCAGTTAGTAGAGCATGCAGCTCTTGATCCTGGGGTTGTGAGTTCGAGCCCCTTGCTGGGTGTAGAGATTACCTAAAAATAAAATCTTGAAAACAACTGTCTCTGTCAAATAAATAAATAAAAATCTTAAAAAAAAAGTACTACTCGTATCATTATTATTTTAAAAAAATATTATTTATACACTTAATGACTTTATTTTTTTTTTAAGATTTTATTTATTTTTTGACAGAGAGAGAGACAGCGAGAGAGGGAACACAAGCAGGGAGAGTGGGAGAGGGAGAAGCAGGCTTCCCACGGAGCACGAAGGGGGGTCTGTATATTATTTTCTGCACTTTTCTCCACATTTGAAATATTTTAAAATTAAATTTTAAGAAGTTTAAACAAAAATAGAAAGTAAATGCTTTCTAAAAGCTTGACTCTCTAAATGCATGACAGCAGAGTGTTATTATTAGCATCTTTTATGTCAAGACAAATCACAGTGAACCTGCTCTTCAAGTACCAGGTCAATATTCCTGTCAGAAAAGTGAAGCCCACCTTCAAAGCAGTGAAAGGCAGATCCTCCAGGGGAGCTGGGAGGGGGCATCCCACGTTCAGGGCTGACCTGAAACACAAAGCCGCCTTACAGATTAGAAAAGGCTAGTCAAACCGCTGTCAGTTTCTCCTTAGACAAGATTCTCTCTGCCAGCCCAACATTTGTACCTCCAGTCCTGGTTCATGCCTCACCTCCTCCCTGAAGCCCACCTTACCTAAGTGTTCTCTACTGTATACCATGTCCCTAAATTCTTCGTGTTTAGCCATATATTTTATACTTCATTACTGAGATAAATTATTCTTAGCATTTAGTGTCTTTAGCTCATCTCCATGAGTCAATTATATACTTCTTAAGGGCACCAACTGTCTCCCACTCAGAATAGAGCTTGGCACTGAACTGCTAGGAAATAAATACTTCATGACTGGGAGATGAAATCACTTATAAATCTTAAAAGGCCAAAGCAAGCCCTTGTATTATACAGAATTCCAGTGAGAACCTTTTCTGTTTTGTGAAGTTCCTTGACCAGCATGCCAGTGGGATTTTCTTCGAGTGAGCACTTAATAATACCTGACCTCTCTGCCTGCCTCCCAGGCGTGCAGCCCCACCTGAGAGATGCTGGACACGCTGCTGGTCTTCCTCTTCAGGGTGCCTTCCTGACACACCGTCAGCAGATTACTGGGGAGGATGGAGCGGAAGTCATTGAAGGATCGCCTCCGCACACCTTCAAGCTCCTCAGGGACTCGGAGGGAATGAGGAGGGACTTTGGGGAACAGTTTTGAAAGGAGAGACTCTTCTGTGTTGCTGTAACGCCCAAACGCTCGTGAGATTCCTATCAGGCATGGGATCGCGTATTTGCAAAGGTATTCTAGAAGACAAAGTGAAAATGTTCCGATATCAGAAAGTTGCCTGGGAGAGAGTTGTGCTGCACCAGCTTGTAACGTTGGCTGACATCTCATAACCCATCCCCTAGCAAATGTGACGGGTCAGAACAAGTCACATCAACATGTCAGCGGCTGATCTGCACAACTTCAGACTACATCTGTCACACACAGCTGCTCTTTTTGGCAGGTCTCAATCTATGCATGGTACACCCAAATCAGTAACACAGGTAAGCCCTGTTATCAGGTACCTTTACTATACTTAAACAATATATTTCGTCCCCCGGGATTATGTTGGTAGCCTTATGCTAGAGGCAATCGGGCATGTTATAAATGAAGAAATTGAGGCCCAAGAAGGGTGAAGTGACTTGTCTAAGGTCACCTGGTATTCAGGTAGCAGAGCTGCGCTCATGACCCCCACGTGTCCTCTTAGCTAACACTCAATGAAGGCAAACTAATTCAGGAGGGTTTCATCCATCAGGTACACAAATAGTAAAGCACAGAAAAGAAGACCAGGAAAAGCAAAGGAAAAAAGTAATCACAAAGCCATTATGAAAAAAAAAAAGCCTCAGATCTAGAATCATACCTTTTTCTTGAATCTCCAAGGCCTGGCACATTCCCAAAAGGACATGCAAAACCTGCAAAAGCGCCTCTAAAATCTGTAATAGCCACGGAAACAGAAAAGACAAATTTATAAACAAAATCAGGTAAGTACCACAAAATTCATTCAGAATTAGAAGGAGCTTTACACATTAAAGTGTCCATACCCATATCTGATACGTAAATGCCCGAATGACAGCTCTGCCGAGGGGCCAATCAGCTAACCTTCCAGGAACAGAAACCGGCCCCCCTGGGTTGGTCCAGAGTGCCCCCTAACTCTGGGCCGATATTGTCCTCCGGGGCTTGTGCCCCTGGCCCTTAGAGCCACTCCTCTTCCCATATTCCAGAAACAAGTATAGGTCCCCAAATCTCTTTTCATGGCAAATATTTCTGTCAAGCCATTCCTTAGGATTATATATCCTTTATGATGCTGAGTGCCTGCTTCTGATTTCACAGTAGTCCCATGTGTCAGAAACAGTCTCAAATTGTGGGGCTCAGGAAAATACATTAATATTCCAGGGATGTTAGGACTCACCCTGAGTAATCACCACACTCAAAACATAGTCTAGACTTCCATGTACATGATGTTAGCTTTTCAGCAGCCACTTCACTCTGCTGGCTCAGTAAGCTGACTGACACATAAAATACTTGCATCTTTTTTACACCTCTACTGATGCTATTGGTATTTTTTGCCTGTCATTGATGCCACCAAAGCTTGGGGGATTAGCTTTAGTTCACCATACTGGTCTCTGATTCCCAGTATTGTGTCATCTACAGAAGGAAACCTACTTGCTTTCTGAATCTTCGTTTATGGCCCTGGCTCATTTTGCTTCAATGGTAGGGGGTAGGGGGGTAGGCTAGGGGAGGCTTCTGCTGGGCTGGCACCCTCTGCGGTAGTCCTTTGGACAGCTCCACAAACCTTCCAGATTGTGTTGGCCTTCAGCCCATATTCTAGATCTAGGATGTTAGGAGGGTGTTTCTCTAATGCCTTGATGAAGATCAACTAGACTCCATCTACCTTATTTCCCTCTACTACCAGTCTTGGAGGAAACCCCAGGCAAAGAAGAGAATAAAATTGGTCTTATATAATGTGTTCCTAATCCAGGTAAATTTCTGACATTTTGCTAATGTTAAATGATGCTGAATAACATATGAAGACTTGAAATGCAAGACTTTCTCCATTTGGTGTATTAAAGTTATACCGTCATATTTAGTATTGACATTTTGATAAATGTTATTTATAAAAAAGCCCTTAACTTACAGCCTGCTAACTTCTGAAATAATGATATACAATTCTAATATACAAATAAAGAACCTAAACTAAGAAAGAAGGATGGAGAAGAACGTTAATGGCAGAAATACAACAGAATTTACAGTTTGATTAAGGAAAGAGATTTTAAAAATTAAAAAACAGATACAAGAACTCAAAAAGCATAGCTAGGCGGAAACGTTTAACATATTGACAAGCAACTGGCACTCCTTGGCAGGACCTGAGGATAGCAGCATATACAAACTGATTTTCAAAATAAAAAATCTCATTAAGAAAAAGTTTAGGTTATGATTGTATTCTTTGTTTAAAAAAGAGAAGAGTATGAAAGACATTTAAGTAACATTTCAACAAAATAAACTAAAATGAAAAAAATCTGGGCACTTAAAATCTGGGTATAATTTCAACTATCTAGATAATTCCCTTCTATGAATGAATCCCCAACAGAGAGTCAGGAAAGTGAGCTGCATCTGCCTTTTGCTGCCGACCTCACAAGGCTATGGGGAAAGCTGGACGAGACAAGAGTCAAGAGGTCACTGGGTAACCTGGAAAGTATTGTAAGCAAGTATTCAACATTTCTTAGGTGTGTTAGTACAAAATAAATCAACTAAAACAACCCAATCACTTCAAAGGTTTTTTTTTTACTCTTTTCATTACTTTGGGACTCTTTTTGACTATATAGAAATGCACTCCAGGGGCGCCTGGGTGGCTCAGTCGGTTAAAAGTCTACCTTCGGCTCAGGTCATGATCTCAGGGTACTGGGATTGAGCTCCCTTGCTCGGCGGGGAGTCTGCTGCTTCCTCTCCCTCGCCCCTCCCCCTGCTTGTGCTTTCTCTCTCTCTCTCTCAAATAAAATCTTAAAAGAAAGAAAGAAAGAAAGAAAGAGAAAGAAAGGCACCCAATTCACCACACACTTACCTCATCCCTAAGTGAGGGGTCCCTATAAGCCACATCAGACAGCAAAGTGACCAAGCAGAAGCTGAAGCTCTCTGCAACCGGGAGGGTGGCTGGAAGGCACACAGACACGAGTCAGATCATTACCACTGAGACACTGGACCATACCTACGGGCCATCCAATTCAGTAAGTTCCCTCTCTCACAGGGCCTGCCAAGAGACCAGTTTACAGGGATGGCTGCCCTCACTGAGGTGAACCTCAAAAGAACAGATATGGGCCCAACATGGTTGCTGAGAAATACCCCTAACTTTTCTTTTAATAGAATGTTTTGGTTCAATAAACTTAAATGTTTCTGCCAATTTATAGTTTGAGATTATACAGTTTCTCAACATGACAGACTCCATTTTTTATTCCTGACCTAAATTTCTACCCAGGGTGAGAAACCAATCTTGATAGAGTATAAGAGATGGTATATGGAGGCTAACCATCAAGTATCAATTACCACTACTTTAAACTGAATTAAATGTTTATATTTCTTTTCTGCTTTATTTTGACAAGTGGAGAAAATCCTAACTAAGAGCTTCCAAAGATTTGCTCTATTCCTAATAGGTTTTTAAGCCCTTCCACTACCGACCTCTTCAAAGGGAGGTTCTCAGGAGCATGGCCTCAAGGTTGGGAAGGGATCACTGGACCTAAAAGACCAAAAGCTAACCAGTGCTTCTATGGTGTGCACCTTAAAAATGTCAGAATCATTTCTGTGTAGATCTAATCCCTATTAAATATTTAATCAATTTTGAATATTGATTATTTAACCAAGATCTATTCAAAGCACATGGCAGAAGATTGTTACGTGTTCACTTCTGTACCTATAATTTTAAGATGCAGCTCTAGGTCCTTCTTAAACTTGAGTGTGATCAGAATCACCTGCAGGCTTATTAAAATGCAGACTGCCAGCTTCCCTAGCCCCAGAGTTCTAATTCCTCAGTAACTCTGATGTGGGGACTGACAATCTGCATTTCTGACAAGTTCCCAGGTGATGCTGATGCTGCTGGTCCCAGATGGCACTTTGAGAAGTACTCCTCTAGAGTTTAAAAGCATAAATCATACTGCCTAAATAAAAATAAAAGAGTGAAATGTTACCTAATAGTTGGACATTTATATATCTCTAACAATGTTTCAAATAGTGCTAAAACTTTCATCCTAGTGGGAGTCCATGTACAGAGAAGTAATACTTGCTTTGAAAGAAAAGAAAATAGAATCAACTTCTACTGCTATTCTACTTCTCCCCAAATTAGATAACAGTAGTGGACAGAGATGTTTGACGTTTTTTAGCAATGCTTTCTATTTAATCTGTAGTCCTTCAGGGTGGGAGGATGGGCAAAATAGGGAAAGGAGACAAACTCCCAGGTCTAAAACAAAGAAGATATAGGGATACAATGTATAACATACGGAATATTATCAATAACAGGTAATGACTTGGTGTGGTGACAGACTGACAGAAGCTAGATTTATCATTGTGATCACTTTGTAATGTATATAAACTTTGAATCACTATGTTGTATGTCTGGAACTAATATATATTGTATGTCAACTACATTTCAATATAAAAAATTGTAGTCCTTTAAATTCCAGGGTATGTGCATAATTTGGAGTCTGTCAGTTTCAGGCACAATAGGTTACCAGAAATGATGAAACCCAAAGGAGAGGAATAGGCACAAGCAGATGTTCATGAGAACAGCAAAACCCATCTTTAGCAGGCTGAGCCCACCCAACAAACTAGGGCCATGCCACCAATGAAAAGGACAAGGGCAGGGGCGCCTGGGTGGCTCAGTTGGTTAAGCGACTGCCTTCGGCTCAGGTCATGATCCTGGAGTCCCTGGATCGAGTCCCGCATCGGGCTCCCTGCTCGGCAGGGAGTCTGCTTCTCCCTCTGACCCTCCCGACCCTCCCCCCTCTCATGCTCTCTCTCTCTCAGTCTCTCTCTCTCTCAAATAAATAAATAAAATCTTAAAAAAAAAAAAAAAAAAAAAAAAAAAAAAAAAAAAAAAAGAAAAGGACAAGGGCCTTCTCTATAGACACCAACCCTCTGCTATGTCTGAAAGTGGACCTCAGGTCTCACATAGGGAGATTATAAGAAAACCTCGGTCTCCAGGGTCATGATCTCTAGAATGTTGGAGGTGTCCCAAACTCATATGGGAGTCTTGGGAAATCAGTATATAAGAACATCAGGGTTACAAGTGCTTAGCACAATGCCTGGCACATAGTGGACTTATATACTATTTTTAAAGGTACAAAATTTAACTAAAACTCAGCAACAGCAACAAAATGATCAACTGTTCACAGTGAATATGGTGTTCAAGTCCTGGACATCCATCTCACCCTTCCTTTTTGAGTAGTAGCGATGCAATCTGGAGAACTTGATGCACTCCAGGAGTGAGCCTATTCATCTAAGGGTAACAGAGACTGGTTGAGGGATGGGCAGGGGACCCAATTCTGGCAAGGAGACATGAGAAAAGGTTCATGAAGGTCTCCAAGTTCCTGTTCACTCCCAGAGTGCAATGCAAAGCCAGTTTTCTCAGCCTTGCCCTCGCCCCCATGGGCTCTGGACAACAATGAGTAGGCACAGCCCATGCTGCTACAGACAGGCAGTTGTCTTACAGCCAAGAGTGGAACCAGCTAGAAACATTGTACCTGATGCATTATTATGATTAAACACCTGATCCATACAGACTGTGAGCATACATGCTCTTCCCGGAGTTCAGGGAAAAATTTATACAACATTACCTCTGCCTTTCCGAGCTGTGCTTTCTTCTACCCAATACACTTTCGGAAGACCTTTAAGCAGTCGAAGAAGGTAAGGAACCACAGAATCTTTGTGCTTAAAAAAAAAAAAAAATTATATTTAATACAAGTGCGGCTAGTAGTAAAGCATACGCATCCTAATCATCTCAAAGATGGATGTTTGTGTGGATGGGCATCCTTCCTGTTTCCATATGGCAGCAGCAGGTGGCATCAGGAAGTTATCACATCACCTGCACCAGGGGTGCCTAAGGAAGGGCTAAAATCTGCCCTTCTGCTGCTGAATGTCCAGCCCGGCTCTGGCCCTTGCTGGGGGCTAGGCCCCCATGAGGGCCTTTCCACAAGAAGGTATGTGTGCGCACACACTCTCAAAACTGCCTTCAACAAGAGTGTTCAGAGAGCCCGCAAGCCCTTCAGTGGGCCCCAGGATCAGATCCTCTAGACTGAGGGAAGGTCACAGCCATAAGCTTCTAAACTTGGTGATGCTTCTGTTATTCATGGCCTTTGTCCTTTTTTTTTTCTTTCTTTCTTTTTTTTAATTTTCTGTTTCATGTTTCCTTTTGCTTTTCCCAAATTGAGTGTTAGACTTTATAGCCATCATTAGCCAATACAAAAACTACTTTCTTCTAGTTTCCAAACTAGCCAGTCAACATGTCACTTCATAACCTTCCATGACTGACTCTTTTGGTTGTTTCCCTATTTATAACTGTTCCAGTTAAGGATTAGGTTAAGTGTACTCCTGAGAAGGGGGATACTATTTGATGTCCTGAAATACTGAAATCAAAACAAAACATGTGGTAATACTGAAAATATGGCTACAAATTCTGTGACACTCCTTCCATGGAACGGTAGAGTCAAATTTACCTCCCCTGGAAAATGGGCTGCCTTAGTAACTTGCTTCTGGTGTTTTTAGAAAGTACAGTTGATTCTTGAACAACATGGGTTTGAAGTGCACAGGTCCACTTGTATATGGATTTTTTTCAGGACTGTAAATGTATTTTCTCTTCCTTACAGTCTTCTTAATAACATTTTCTCTAGCTTACTTTATGGTTTTTGGTAAGGCTTCTGGTCAGCAGTAGGCTATTAGTAGTTATGTTTTGGGGGAGTCAAAAGTTACATGTGGATTTTCAACTGCACAGGGGGTCAGTGCCCCTAACCCCTGTGTTGTTCAAGGGTCAACTGTAGTTTAAGAGACCGACTTCCCAGGCTAAAGAAGACAGTAACAGCATCTATCTGGCTTTTTCTCAGGACACATGCCCTCGGGACCCAGACATTACATTGTGACAAAGTGACATAGCCCAGGCCACATGGAGAGGCCATGTACATAGGGGTGGCCTGGCTGAGCACCCCAGCTTAGGTCCCAGCCAATAGCCAGGATCAACCCACACCCTTGTGCATGAACAAGCCTTCAGGTGATTCTAGCCCCCAGCCTTCCAGCCACTCCAGGTGACACTGAATGGAGCAGAGACAGTGACTCTTCTGTGCTCCAGCTAAACTGGAGATTCATGAGAAAAGAGAAAAACCAAAAACCAACCTATTGTATTAAGCCACCAAATTTTGGGGTAGTTTGTTCCACCACAATACATAACCACAACAAATAGAGAACTTTCTTTAGCAAAAACAACTTTTCCTCTAAATCAGAGGAAGGAGATGGCTACATCTGTCCAGGATCCCATTGTACTAAGAGGCACAAAACTCCAAAGGATGTGTAAGGCATGGCTCCCTGCAGAGGAAGTGACTCCAGGTGTTCTATCCTGTAGAACCTGTGATGGCTTTTGTAGCAGGTAGGAGTGAACTACTTCTGCTACTCTGGCCACAGCTGCTGCCAGGGCAGCCCATTGACTGGACTCGGAGGCCAGTACCACAGCCCATCCTGGTTGGAGACAGAGAACATCAACACCAGGTGAACCAAGAGAAAGCTGGTCCCTAGGGCTCAGGGGGCTGGTAAGGCCTGTGGGGCCCCTCTCCTTGTGTGGTGAGGTCAATGGGCTTCCTAGAAGCACTGGCAGACTGCATGGCTGAAGGAGCTGTGACCCCAGGTCCCGCCAAGCTTTACCAGAAACCCAAATTACACCAACGTAATTTGTATTTGTCTTTTCCTTGCCACTCTAAAAAGCCTACCACAAATATTAGGGACTTACAGGTAAATCTATTAATTTTGCCAAAGATATTTTCGATTAATACACATTTGGATAGCAGTTTCTCATACAGATTATTTTTAAAATTCTTTTCCTCCCTTTATATTTAAATTTAAATAAGACTTTGCAAAAAGGAGATATGATTTTTTTTATTTTCACATTTATAAAAAAAGAGGCAAATAATTAAAATGCAGTTTATATGCATCTAATTTTGGTTTTTCATGTGGCTTGGTCAAACAACCTATTTAATTTTCAAACTACTGCTCTAAAATGCTTAATTTTTTTTCAAATGAATGAATACCCTGTCAAAAATATTTATCCTACTGAAGTAGAATTTCCAGGACAGGGGCACCTGGGTGGCTTAGATGGTTAAGCAACTGTCTTTAGCTCAGGTCCCAGGATCGAGTCCCGCATCGGGCTCCCTGTTCGGCTGGGAGTCTGTTTCTCCCTCTGACCCTCCCCCCTCTCATGCTCTCTCTCTCTCTCTCAAATAAATAAAATCTTAAAAAAAAAAAAAAAAAAGAATTTCCAGGATGTAAGCATTTTTAGATAAATAAAAATTTAAATATCTAACATCTTTATTTTCCTAACATAGCATGATTAAACATGGAATTAAAAGTGATTCTTGATAATGATAAAAATAAACAAACAAATAATAGATTCTGTATTCAGTGATTAACCATTTGCTTCCATTAGCCTTGGAAGTACTAAAAAAAACAAGGCCACATCATTTTTTGTTGGAGCCAGAACACTGATTTTCAAATCACCTCTAAAAGATACATTAATATGTACTCTAAAACTTATTTTATATCTATCACAGTTCTTTTTTTTTTTTTTTTTTTAAGATTTTGTTTTATATTTAGGGGCATCTGGGTGCTCAGCTGGTTAAGCAGCTGCCTTTCAACTCAGGTCATGATCCCTGGGTCCTGGGATACAGCCCGAATCCAGGTCCCTGCTCAGTGGGGAGTCTGCTTCCTATTCCCCCCACCCTTCCCCCCCCAACTCGTGCTTTCTCTCTCACTCACTCCCTCTCTCTCAAATATTTTTTCTTTTTCTTTTTTTTTTTAAGATTTTATTTATTTATTTGACAGAGAGAGAAATAGCGAGAGCAGGAACACAAGCAGGGGGAATGGGAGAGGGAGAAGCAGGCTTCTTGCCGAGCAGGGAGCCCGATGTGGGACTCGATCCCAGGACCCTGGGATCATGACCTGAGCTGAAGGCAGATGCTTAACGACTGAGCCACCCAGGCGCCCTCAAATATTTTTTAAAAAAGACTTTTTTACGTTTAAGTAATCTCTACACCCAACGTGGGGCTTGAACTTACAACCCCAAGATCAAGAGTCATACACTCCATCGACTGCACCAGCCAGGCGCCCCTATATCTATCACAGTTCTGAACAAGATTGTATTATGTCAAAGTTATCTCAAAGAACACCATCCTTTGGAAGGGAAAAAAAAAAATGGTTACTCAGTCTGACCAACGAACATTTGACCTTAGATTGAAAATCAAGTCTACTCTGGAGGGCACACAATTACTTCATTTAGCATTTTAATTAACTTTCTGGCCAAACAAAACACAGTAACAACCATCAAAAACCACTTTAACAACTTAATTATTCACACAGTTCGAAAAACAAAATTTCTTAATAAGAGGGTGTACGTTAATTAAACTAATTAAATTACTCCTGCCTGTTCTACCCACTCTGCCTCACTATCACTAACCACTTTTATTAGGTTCATATGCATTCTTCTAGTACTGCTTTAGATAAATATAAGCAGGTACAAATTTAAATTCTAATTACACTCCCCCATTTACACTGCAAAAACACTTTTAATGTAGTAAAGACTTACCTGAAGATCAGATTCAATGAGAAAAATGCCCAATGCGATCACCGCATCTCTTCGTCTTTCATCCAATTGGAAGATCCCATGGAAGTCTACTGGGCACATACAAAGCAGCTTTTGGACCTAGAAAATGAGACCAAAAACAACAAAAAACCCCATAGATTAAAAAAAATATAAACCCACATTCAGAATATAGGACATAAACCAGTAGCATAAAATCCCATTGAGTCTATATAACCAATAAGACATTTTTTTCCAATTCAAAAATCATAGAAAGATCATCTCTAGCTTCTGAAATGATCATACACATGCTCCCAAAACATATATGCGCTGAGGAATCAGGACCAAGAGTTAAAATGATGCATACACGGAGGAGGTAAAGCACAACAGCTAATGTCTGCAATTCTGAGTCAGAACTGTCATGGGTCTCTACTGCCCAGTGGTGCCCAGAAGCAGTTTACCCAAACCCACCTACCGTCACAATTTCCCATAGGGTTCTTTAAAAGATCAAATGTGTGTAAAGCGCTTAGGACTACGCATAATAGATACTAGATGCTCAACAAACATTATCGGTTGTTACTGGATATGCCATAATAGTGGCTAGCAGAAGCAAATGGGCAATAAGTTAGCAATTTACTGAATATATGGAAGAATTTGAATTTTTTCAAAACAAAATAATGGTAAATGTCTGACATAAAGGACTAAAAATCTAGGGCGCCTGGGTGGCTCAGTTGGTTAAGCAACTGCCTTCAGCTCAGGTCATGATCCTGGAGTCCCTGGATCGAGTCCCGCATCGGGCTCCCTGCTCGGCAGGGAGTCTGCTTCTCCCTCTGACCCTCCTCCCTCTCATGCTGTCTCTCATTCTCTCTGTCTCAAATAAATAAATAAAATCTTTAAAAAAAAAAAAAAGAACTAAAAATCTAGATTTATTATGAATAGGAAAATAGGTGATGCCAATCTTGAAAATCCCTGCCACAAGACCCTCTTAGCAGAGCATTCAGATACACCAGGAGGCCCCAACCTTGCTGTTCTGTGAAGAGACCCAAGGAGAAGTTGCTCACTGACATTCATACGGTCTGGTGGGATTTTTTTTGTTTTGTTTTTTTAAGATTTTATTTATTTGAGGGGCGCCTGGGTGGCTCAGTCGTTAAGCGGCTGCCTTCAGCTCAGGTCATAATCCCAGGGTCCTGGGATCGAGCCCCGCATCGGGCTCCCTGCTCCAGGAAGCCTGCTTCTCCCTCTCCCACTCTCCCTGCTTGTGTTCCCTCTCTCGCTGTGTCTCTCTGTGTCAAATAAATAAATAAAATCTTAAAAAAAAAAAAAGATTTTATTTATTTGAGAGAGAGCAAGCATGAGCAGGGGGAAGGGGCAGAGGGAGAAGGAGAAGCAGACACCCCACTGAGCAGGAAGCCTGACACAGGACTCAATTCCGGGATCATGACCTGAGCCTAAGGCAGATGCTTAACCAGTTGAGCCAGCCAGGCATCCTGGTGGGATGTTTTAATGGCAAAGGACATTGAGTATAATGCTTGAGATTTGCCCTGAAAATATCAATTACCATTGCAATTTTAAAAAAGAAAACAGATTGGGCACCTGGGTGGCTCAGTCATTAAGCGTCTGCCTTCAGCTCTGGTCATGGTCCCAGGGTCCTGGGATCAAGCCCCACATCGGGCTCCCTGCTCAGCAGGAAGCCTGCTTCTCCCTCTCCCGCTCCCCAATTGTGTTCCCTCTCTCACTATGTCTCTGTCAAATAAATAAATAAAATCTTAAAAAAAAATAAAAGGAAAACCCGATTTTAAAAGGGCAAATACACAAGCCAGAAAGAGAAGTACCTTCTAACTTGAAGACAGGTAATATTTTTTGTCTCAGTAATTTTCCTCTTAGGAATGATTGTAAAGAATTAGAAATCTTAAGGCAAAGACTATGTAAAAGACTTTCATCACAGTGTTGTGTATATTAATTGAAAATCTGAAACAATCTAAATAACATTAGGAAAATAAATGATTTCACCATTTGGTGAAACATTAGGTTAAACCATATGAAACTCTGATAGTCAACCAAATTTTTGACCTACCAAAACAATGCTTTCATAAAATCTGACCTAATAACACAGACATGAAAAATGGTATTTTTCTAAGACTAAGCAAAGACATGAACAATGTTCTAAATGTTCTGTAAATTCACGTGAGGAATGATCTGTATCTTATCATATACAGAAAAAGTACTGGAAGAAAATATATCAAAATGTTGACAGTTATGGAGAGGCAGAATGACCAGTGATTTTACATTTCTTTTTTTTTTTTTTAGTGGGCTCCAAGCTTGAGCCCAATGTGGGGCTTGAACTCACAACCCTGAGATAAGACTTGAGCCGAGATCAAGAGTCAGACACTCAACCAACTGAGCCACCCAGGCGCCCCAAGGTTTTACATTTCTTTGTGCTTTTTTATATTTGCCAAAATATGTTCTAGAAGAAAATGTTACTTGCATAATCAGGAAAAAGATGTAGTAAGTTAAAAATATATACATATGGGGGAAAATCCATACTTTTATGATTAAATAGTTAAAAGAGCATAAAGTAACAAGAGAGGAAGAGAAATACTAAATTCCCACTTTTCTTCAGTGTTCCTTCACTTCACAGAGGGGAAAATAAAATACAAAGAGAGCTGAAGGCCAAACACAATACAGTGATCATTTCATAGACTCCAGACACTTCCACCAGTGAATCACACATCCTGACAGAAAGAGTAAAGCCTCTCAAGAAACATTTCTGTACATAAGAAATCGAAAGAAGGTGAATTTATAGCAGTATGAGTCAATGAGATCCAAAGAATGCTGATTAATCAACATGGAACCAGAGGGAGGAGTCTGGAGCCCTGTCAAAATCGATGTACTTTGTCTTGTGCAATACTTTATCAACACCCTACTCAAACACACAGAAATATACAACGCCACATACCTGGCAGGCAAAGCTAATGTGCTACAAGATAGAATGGAGACTCAGAAACTCATCGAAATTGGCACAACCTCACTACACACAAAGTCTTCTTACTAACGGACTAGTTATCATTTATTTTGAAAATAAGTACGTAACAAGTTATATCTGCTTGGCTATCTAATAAGGTGAGATTGTTTTCTGTCTTTACAATCTCTTAGAGGATTGCCTGTGATGCACGTCATGTTCTGGTTTAATGCCTATTCAATAATAAAAGTGTTTTCTTTCTCTACTACCTTTGTGGAGAGCACTTGGGAGATTTTGTTTGTAGTTATATTTCCCCAGCAATAGTGCCTGAAGGACTATTTTTAATGGGGTGATCAGGAAAGACCTCTCTAAGAAGGTGCCCATTAAACTGAGATCTGATTAAGAAGGAACCAGCAGGGACAAATCAGGAAAAAGCATTCTGGCAGAGGCCACTGGAGAGGGAGCATGATGGGAAAGAGAAAGTGGGGATGCCCAGAAGTCCAAGAGCAGGTAGAGGCTGGGAACCTGGCTTGTGCTCTAATAGCAATGTAAACTAGTGCCAAGGGGGTGCACACTGGAGGCCCAAAAACTCGAGTTTAGAACTGAGGTTTAGAAGAATCTTCTGGTTTGGGAGGACAAGAGTGAAACCACAGAAATGTCAGGAGATGCTTCAGTAGCAAAGATGGTAATGACCAAAGCAGAAAGAAACAGTCCAGCTCAGGACGTTTCGGAGGAAGACTATGGGACTTGACGATGAACAACATGTGGAAGTGAGGGAAAGATTGAGTTGCCTCTCTGCCACTCTAAAAGTATCCAAAGATGGTCATGCAGGATGACGTGGGGTCTAAGAAATATTCCATATAAGAAGCCGTTAAAAAGGAACATTTAGCCCAGAGACAATCAGGCTATAAATAAACACAACCACTGTCTTCATGTATTTGATGCGTTTCAGTAACGTCATCAGCAACATCTACCCCATTACTCATGTGACAGTTATTAGTGCATTTGTCTTCTCTCCACTAATCTGCAAGCTCCCCGGGGGCCCAAATCATCTCTTATCTTTGTATCTCCATCTTCTACACTGTGGACAGGCACCATAAAAGACATACTCATTCTCCCCCAGAATGCAGGCTTGCCATCTATTCTTAGTTTTTGCCCAGACATAAGCTCTCTTCCTTCTCAATCCAGACCCTCCCGTTTCAGGGCTGCTGCCAGCCCATCCTGGCACTTGCCCCAGAGGGCAGAGGCAAACCCCAAGGTCTCTTCATTTACAACAAGCATAAGAACTAGATTTCTCCTCACAGGGCAGATGTTCTGGGTTGGGTTTGATTTCCTGTTTGCTGAGTACTTTGTTTTTTAGGCATTATACTCTGGAAACTAATACTCAGACTGGGCATAGACATGAGCTCTAGCAATATCCCAGGATAAGAATTCAGCATCAGGAACATGATTAAACCCTGCTGCTCATGTAGCTGTCACCCTACCTGGTAAAGACATCAGAAGGCAGCACAGTTTTTACCATCATTGTCTCCTCTGGACTGCCTGCCCCCCCCATCTTAAATGCCCAGAGGGGTTCTGGGCTACTGACTTCAAACCTTCCTCCCCACCCCCACTTAATTAATATTTAAATAGAAATCATTTGTTACAATTTAAGATTACTCTAAAAGCTGGGCACATGGTTTTAAAATGTGAAGGAACGATACCAGAAAGAACTAATAAAGAATTTAGAGACCTATATAATAATTCAGGAATGCATGAACCATATCGGTGTGGCAGGCAGAACAATGCCATGCCCAGAAATGTCTGTGTCCTAATTCTTGGAACCTATGAATATGTTAACCTCGCACAGCAAATGGATGTAAATAGGTTGCAGAGGTGGGGTACCTGGGTGGCTCAGTCGTTAAGCGTCTGCCTTCGGCTCAGGTCATGATCCCAGGGTCCTGGGATCGAGCCCCACATCAGGCTCCCTGCTCAGTGGGAAGCCTGCTTCTCCCTCTCCCACTCCCCCTGCTTGTGTTCCCTCTCTCACTGTCTCTCTCTGTCAAATAAATGAATAAAATCTTAAAAAAAAAAAAATAGGTTGCAGAGGTAAATAGGTTAAAAGGACCTTGGGATGCCTGGGTAGCTCAATCAGTTAAGCCTCGGCCTTCCCCCAAGGAAGCCT